GCTCCAAACTTCAACCCCAGTGCGGATGCTGGAGTCCTGGAAAAAGCCATCAAGACTAAAGGTGACTTTTAAAGCCAGACACAGGCTCTGGTCAGACATGTGTGAACATGTTCCTCTGGCCTTGAAGACCTGAGAGCTGTAGGAACCTCTGCTAACTTTACATTTATTTGTGTTTTATTGTAATGTCTTAGTTCACGGTACTTTTAAACAATTTACAATACATGTTGATTTGATTTTGATGAAAAGATTTTTTAATTTTGAATTTTCTACCATTTACTGTATCTAAAGTACTTTTCATTTTGGATGGTAAGTCCTCTAACAATGAAGAGTGATGGACCGAATTCTGTTTGTAAAAGCTAAAGAGAAATATCAATACCATCTTCCATACATCGTGTGTCATTACAACTTCATGAGACAAATCATTGTCTTAACTAATCGCACACTGCAGGCGTAGATGAGCACACCATCATCGACATTCTGGTCAGAAGGAGCAACGACCAGAGACAGAAAATCAAAGAGGTGTACCAACAGGCCTATGGGAAGGTCAGAACCGCTCCTCTAATGTATCAGTGGCAGAAAAAACGTCAGGTTATTTTTGTGCTTATACGTGACTTCGCTTTGTCTGTAGCCTCTGGAAACAGACCTGAAAAAGGCCCTGAAAGGAGAGCTGGAGGAAGTGGTGCTGGCTCTGCTGAAGACACCGGCGCAGTACGACGCCCAGCAGCTGAAGCTGGCGATGAAGGTTGGTCAAACGCACAGAGTTCAATAGATCCATTTGAACAGCACACTAATAAATAAATCAGTTAAATGATAAAAATTAAACTATTCCATTATAACTAAACATACAAATAAGTGGCATAAGTCTTGGTTATTTCAGTATATAAAATTGTAGATAGTTTGAAATGTGTGTGATAATGGAGCTTCTTCTTTCTGCCGAAGTGAAACTTGCCCAGCAGTTCAGAGTTCAGTAATATGCTGCCACATAAATAGTATGAAGTATTTAAACATGTTCTTAAATTTCGAAACTCTGATGTGAGTATGACGCCACACTGAGTTTGATACGACACAGTTGTGAGCTAACGGTAACGGTGCTAACTCGTAATAGCCCTACATGCCAAAATCAATGTGTTTCCCTCGTTTTTGCTTACACATGCTTCTCATGCTGATAAATAATTTCCACGTGCCACTTTCACAATGTTTTATATCTTTGGCAGTCGTATTAGAAATTGACCTCTGGACTACTTGGAGACTCAGGACTATCCAGATCAAAATTTAAGGTTTAGGAGTTGAGAAAGCAGCAATAAAGTAGCAATAAATATGTTTATTGCTACTTATCTCAACTTTTTTGTTCTTTAGTTCAGTGACATACATAGTGATGAGAAATATATGTTTGTGAATGTGTTACTTTTGTCAAAACGCATGCAAAGGGGACAACAACTGTTTCAGCTGGTATTGCTGACACTTCATCATAATGATTTCATTTCCAAATCAAATGAATACCCAAAACTTTGTGATATAAAATTCAGATGTGACACAATGACATTTCTGACCAAATATTGCTTTTTTGAATGGGATTATACTTTCTTCTCCTGCAGCCCAAAGCTTCGGCCGTACCATCCTCTGTTTTTTTTTTTTTTTTTTAATTCATTCATCCATTGTTTTCTTAGTGGAAGCTGGTTTATTGGATTTGGGTTCGTTATAATACCAGGTATTTCTCACAATGTTAGTATTTCTGCTCACACATTCCTGTGTCAGGGTCTTGGTACCGATGAGGATACTCTGATCGAGATCTTGGCCTCCAGAACCAACAGGCAGGTCTTGGACATGAAGAAAGCCTACAAGGAAGGTCTGTACCTAAAAAGAGTCTCTAAACTCGTAGGCAGTAAATACTTTGAGAATAGTTTTTTACAAAAAGGCCAGAATGTTCATACAAGCTGAATTAATTTTTTCTTTATTTTTTATTTCCTAGACTACAAGAAGGATCTGGAGGAGGACATCAGGTCGGACACCAGTGGAGACTTCAGGACTGCCCTCCTTACTCTCTGCAAGGTTTGTCCTTTATTTTAGCCAGTGAAGTTTGGAAGGTTCCCAGGTTTTACAAAAGTATATATTTGATTTCAGACAAACCTTAATTTTTTTTGTGGAGAAATTATATCCAGCAGCGACCATTTTTGAAACAGTGGAGGAGTTAAGAGACCATAATTTTTGCAGAATAATTTTACTTTAAGGTTTATCATTCCTACAGTGACAGACATTTGCTTTTTATCCAGCAGCACCCAAAAATAACAAGTTTGACTTTTAGGTGTTTTTCCCCTATGCTTCATGATAATAGTCAAAGTGTTTTCATCCAAAATCCGAGCAGAAAAGAAAAAAAAGTGTTTGACATGGTGCTTGAAGACATTTGACATAAAATTAAAACATAAAAATGTCCAACTCAGACTTTGAAAAATGTACAAAAAGATTCTTTAACACTAAGCATCTCATAAATCCATACACAATTTCTCTTTCCAGTGCTTGTAACTTTTATTTGACAATGATCAAACAAACACAACAACGCCTAGAAATTAAAGAGCTTGGAAAAATATCAATAACAACTATAATATCAATATTATAGTTGTATTCTTTTTCATCAATCTCGACAAAAAATAAGATTGAAATGAATTGCAGATCCTGTCAGAAGAACTTAAACGATACAAACTGATCACTAACAAAAAGATCTAGAGATGTAATCCTTTTGAGATGCTAATAACTCAAGTAAAATTTGAGTTTAGCACATGTTCATTAATTTTTATAAATATGTCATAAGCAAATAAAGGGACATTTTTTTCAACTTTCATACTACATACCTAGATTGAGCTAAATATTCTGCATCCCTGAGCTTTGTATTTTTTGTATACATTGTTTCTTTTCTTTTTTTAGGTTGACAAGGCAGAGAAATAAGTGTCTTATGGTTCAATGTGCTGTTGCATGTCATAGGCTGGCAGGACTGAAGGAGTCAATGAGCAGCTGATTGACAGCGACGCCAGGACTCTGTATGAAGCCGGCGAGGGGAGGAAGGGCAAAGACTGCTCCGCCTTCATCGAAATCCTGACCACCAGGAGTGCCCAACACCTCCGCAAAGGTTAGTATGGTAACCCGTTGAGAAAGATGTTTCCATCCCTTTCAGAGTTAACACTATTCTGCTTTTTTTCTGTCTTTCTTTTTTTTAAAGTGTTTGATAGGTATTCAAAGTACAGCAAAGTGGATGTGGCCAAAGCAATCGACTTGGAGATGAAGGGAGATATAGAAAGCTGCCTCACAGCAATAGGTGAAGGCAGATACTTGCACTCTTAATTTCAGTTACTTAAGAGATTATTATAACCACTACTAGAATTAATCTTGAGACGTTCTTCTGAATTGCAACAGTGAAATGTGCTGGAAGCAGGCCGGCGTTCTTTGCGGAAAAGCTCTACTTGGCCATGAAGGTACAGCCTGTGTTGGAGCAAAATTCTGTCTACTCTGTGTCGGCTAACAAACATTTTCTAATTCTTTGTTTTGCTCTTTCTCCGTCAGGGTAAAGGCACTCGCAAACACATCCTGACTCGCATCATGGTGAGTCGTTCTGAGATCGACATGAAGCGGATCAAGGATGAGTACAAGAAAAACTACGGCAAAACGCTCTACCAGGACATTCTGGTGAGCAGACATCAAAACATGCAATTTCTTCCATTTTCTTGGGTTTTACATATTAAGATGGATACAATAGGCCATTCAAAACTTTTAGAGTTTAACTGTTTCTTTTTTACCATCAGGATGACACAAAAGGAGACTACGAAAGGATCCTGCTTGCTCTCTGTGGTGAAAACTAAAAGCCTGCCTCTGGGACCGAAGTGGAAAAAGCCAAAGATCTCCAATGATATTCAGCAGCTGTGGAAAATCCCTTATTGTCTTTTGACATGTATGGTGTCCTGTGCACTCATGGAAGACTGAGAAGACGAATCTTCGACTGTCACGACATTTAGAAATAAGCAAAATATTCTGTTGAAGTTGTCTCTGCTTAAACCCTCCCTCTACCCCAAAATATGGTGTATTATGGCAGCAAAGGTATCACATTGTGCTCCTGGACCAATACTTTAGACTGACTTAGCTTTGCATTTATTTCCAGAGGCTCAAAAAGCTTAGGCTGATGTATGCAGGCTAACTAGTTGTAGCAACATTTTTGAAGGAGCTTCAACATCTGCAAATAAAAGCTTTTTTTATTGAATGATTTGATGGGGTCTTGTATTTATATGCATGTAAACATATGGCAAACCAATGTGCGATATTGTTAAAAAATAAATCGTGGCAGTTTGAGGAAATGTATGAATTGCTTGAACCAGGTAGTTTTGGGAAACACAAGATGTTTTCCGCAATTAATAAACAAGCAATAATGACACAGTATGTGAAGAACTAAACATTGAAAGCAAACTTATTTTAATAATTTGGAGGCCAGAGCAAAGATTTGTTTGATCTTTTACAATCTACAGACAGACTGTAGGTGCAGAATGCAAATTAATAAAGGATTAACTGTATGAAATGTGTGTCACATTAAAAGTAGAAAGTCATTCTTGGCTTAATAATTTTAGATCACAAAAAGGCATGTGTTCTGTACACCTTATGATAGCAATATTTAGCTCAAAGAGAAGCCAAGAAGTAACAGAAGACGCCTCAGAAACCTGAACTTCACGGTTTATTAGCTACACAATATATAAGCACAGTTTTATCTTACAGTAAAGCTTTTGTTTAGGCCGAGGAATAGGCCTACATGTCTGTATGTATTATTAAACCATGCCTGTTCCTCTGAGATTGAAACAATTACGTGGTGCAATAACTAGATGTTGCAAAAAAACAAAAATGCTCTGCTTTTACGGTTGTAGTTTATTTTTCATGCTGGTCTAAATCCATGAGATGGCAGTATTGTAATGGGAATAATTCCGGCTGCGGCGAAACTTCAGAGAAGAAGAAACGAAGCCTGTCCGGCTGGTGATCCGCAGAAGGGGGATGGCCGTGTTGGAAGCTCGTACCTGGCAACCTCAGGACCCAGCCCAGCACTGTAAACAAGCGGCGGACTCTCAGCGGTCCGCGCAAGCTGCAAGACTCCGCGTTTCTTTCTGTATGTGTGAAAGTACCTCCTTTAGCAACCGCAGAGCTACTCTTCATGTACTTGTTTTGTGACTAACTAATGCTGACACGTCATATAAACGTGCTTTAAAGTGTTAACCCGGTGCAGATTAGCCCGCTAACCGAGTCTTAGCATTTCGTCAAAGGTCTATTTATAAATGTCACTGTGCGCGTGCTGCTTTGATGCACATTAAATGATTAAAACGCGTGTTTAATTGTGGTCCTGAATAAGCAAAAGGGTGTTTGGCTTTAAGGAAGCCGGCGGGGTGACGTTACTGGATGTAACTGAGCTGTGCAGAGAAGCAGTAAAACAAGCAGGCAACCTTAAAAGGCAGCTGGAAGGACTTGGCTTCCTGATGCATCGTGCAGACCGAGTTCACCTTGACTAACCTTGATCTTTCCATCTGTGTTTCTCTTGTTTCAGGTCAAAAAAAGTTGCAGTTCGCTCGAAACCCGCCCTTTGATGTGAATACCGACCCATGGACCAGCTCAGAGTCTGCTTCACCCCACAATCACGTTTAGGAGTAGATCATGAATGACAAACTCGTCTTCCTGGGCCTGCTGTACTTTGTCCAGGGTATTCCCTATGGTCTCCAGTCTTCTCTGCTTCCTGTGTACCTGCGTGGAGCCGGCCACTCTCTCACACGCATTGGTTTCACCAAGATCCTCTACTTTCCCTGGGTGCTGAAGGTACTCTGGGCCCCTTTGGTGGACCGAGTGGGAACCAAACGTCGCTGGCTGGTGGGGACGGTGTCTGGGCTGGCGTTGACATGCCTCTCCAGTGCTGCCCTGGCTCCAGAGGCACACATCTGGGGTGTGGCTGGGACTCTGCTGGCCATGAACACCTTCGCCTCTGTCCAAGATATTGCTGTAGACGGGGCTGCCGTTGGGCTGTTGAAAGGACGCGGGGAGCTGGGACTGGGCAATACGGCCCAGGTTGTGGGATATAAGGCTGGATCAGTGTTTGCTGGTGGTGGGCTCCTCGCTGTGATTGATGTGGCTGGATGGAGCTGGATGTTTATGCTCCTGACATTCGTGTATGCAGGCGTGGCTCTGTTTGTGTGGGGGGCTCCTGTGCTGGACGATGAGAGCATAAAGCAGGCAGATGGCAGCAGGAGGGGTGGGCAGGGAGCAGAGGCTATGAGGCCATGGAGGGTATGGAGGAAGCTGATGGCAGTGCCCGGCACACCTTGGACAATCCTGTATGTGCTCACATACAAACTTGGTAAGTCTAATCACTATGCACATGTATTTTCTGTTTAAACAAGGAAAACTTTACATAGCAATGGATGTGTGCATGCAGTGTGATCTGCCGCTTAAACTTATTGCAGTGAAATTACCAGAGTGTCATTATTTCACTATGTTATTCATGCTGCTAAGGAAATAAATAAGTCTTTCCTAAGGTGAAACACTTAGTCAATCAAGAATGAATTGAAATGCATTTTGATTTTATTAAGAAATTAAGCAAAGAATATAGCATTAACTCTCCTGGCTAGTTCAGGGAAGTGAAGACAAGAGGAAGGTACATGGCTTTTAATATCCACCAGCCCTCTTACAAAGTTTGGAGCAAAAAGGAGTATCCCCCCCAGTTTCAGTTTACTTCACAACTCTGGTATTTGCACCTGCAGACTGTGACCCTGGATGGTTCAAACCCAGTTCAGAAGGACCCTCTATTATGTGTTTCCAGCGGGCTCCCTCCAACATGAGGGGTGCTTTATAGTTAAAATTGATTGCTTGCTTGATTTAAATAAAACAAAGTTTGACATAACAATGCACCTTTAACGTGGCTGCAGCAGAAGCCGCTCAAAAAGCGAGTTCAGTGGCCTAACCAGTGCTGGTGGTAATTTATGGTGAATTCTCTACAACCAGCCCTTTCCAAATTTTAAAACCAGTTGGATTTAACTGATAAGCTTGACGACAAGGCTGGCTACTACTAGCAGATCCTGGCTCTCCATTTTTGTATTTAGAACAATCTTTCGACATGCTGACAAAAAAGATTGTATTATCAAAGAAAGAGGTTTATTAGGTAAAAAATAATCAGATGTGCTACTTGATTTTGTTTTTACTGTTCAATGCCAGTCAGCCATTTTGGATTTTTAGGTCAGGGTTGGTAAACAATCTTTTTCTCTCTTAATTTTTCCAACTTGAGCTTGGAGAGCTCCTAAGTAAATATTGAACAAATAATATATCTATACTTCTTCAATCAGTCTCACAATGCTAATTGGTAGTAACTTTTCTTTTTGTTTTTATCATAACAATATCAACCGGCAAGTTTAAAGTGACATTTTCCTTTTCTATTACAGTATTTCTGGCTAGGATGAGGCCTGTGAAACGTTTTTACTGCAGTTGTGCCGGTTACAATAAATCTGAGGAAACCACTGTTTCATTCAACATATTGTGAAGACCCACAAGAAAAGACCTGATAAGAAACAAACAAACTGAGTAACCATTGCATAAAGACATGAAACTGTGGTTCTCCAAATCCAGCTGTGGTTTTTGCATATGCGTCGTGTAAAACTTGAAGAACATCTACATTTGTATTTTAGAGTTGGACCAGAAACTGAAACTAAAAACCTGGAAATTTGAAAATATACAGCATTTTGAAATGATTTTCGAGAATCCTGTGTTCAGAAATGCATCAAGAACTGAGAAAGGAAATTGATCTAGCCTCTTTAAGCTCGTATAATTAAAAATATATCATCACAAAGCTCACCAACAATATGAAAGACAGAGATAAATTTGATTGAGCAATCAAATATTTAACTCAATCTGTTTTTCCTCATTTGCTGTTTGAAGGTGAGACTAACAAATTTGCGGTTTTGGTAATTTTGATTTTTTGTTGCTGTCTGAGACCTCTAGATCACCACTAGATGTCACTGTTGGTGTTTCAGTAACAAGTAAACAGAGCCACCAGTGTATTGCTGAAGTGTGTGGAAGTAATTGTTGCAAGTCAGTTTGTTCTGTCTCCTGTGAGAACACTAAGAAATACAGACTCTGGTCAGACTAAACAGCTTCTGGTACTCACAGAAAGTTACTACACAAAGCGCCATTAGCTTTCTTTTGTTTGCTAACATGTCGTCAACAACAGAAAGTTAAAATCTAAGGTGGTCCCATACAAGTTAAGCTCGAGTGTTTGGTAGCGAGAGTTAATATGACCAGAGTTTGGTTTTTGGTAGCAGAAGGGGATTGTGTGAGGATTAGAGCGTCTTTGTGTCTGTGACGTTAAGAAAGTGAAATAGAGGAAACCGTGCATCTTTGCTGATGTGCATTTACATGTATGTGTGCAAGTGGGTGGTGAGAATCTAATTGTCTCCTCAGATTTGCACAGTTCTTTCCTGTGTATGGGGTATGGATGCATACAGCTTTAAATATTTTGAAAACGGTGTACATGAGGGTGTGTGTTTTTCTTTCTTTTTTTTTTTTTTTTGTTAGTGTTGAGGTTGGCTCAGTAATCGGATAATCCCCTTCAGACGACACTGCTAGACAAAATATGAAGACTGGCTGGACCCCCTAATCTGTCTAGAAGCAGCCCCCCCCCATGCAACACTCTCTCTGATCCATGAGCTCACACATAAAGACACACAACACACTACTAGTACTAGTTGTTGCTTAAGAACAACAATTATCAAGTTTAGCATTGTCAGTGCATTTATTGGTTTCCTTCTTTGCAGTCAACACATTACAGAGTTTCCCCTTTTTGCTATTTCAATGCTTCCTATCTTTGCATCCCAGTGCAATCTATGTATGTTTCCTATGTTTTAGATGAATCTTAAATGTGTGGCTTATGTGAGACAGTATTGTTTTTGTTCAAGGGGGTATGTGGATATGTTTGTGTGAGACCGGTAATCTGTCTGTCTGAACAGCCCCCCCAAACACCTCTCATAATAACATGCATATACAAGCACAAAAACCCCTTCTCCCTCATCTACCACTAATGAACTCTGAGTTTGCTCTGCTTCCAACTCTGTGGCCAATCATTTGCTGCCTCGTGTCTAAACGGTGACCCTTGTGCCATCTGAGGCCACCAGCTTGATGGGTGAACTGTCTGGGTAGACCGACAGACAACGGGGACAGGGGGAGGGAGGCCGCCCAGGACAAATGGGAAATGAGCCAGGGTAGAGGCGAACAATGAAGGCCTGGAGTTGCAAATACGTTTCCAAAATCTCATCAATCATGTTTTCCCAAAACGTGGTAGGCATGGAGAGATAGAAGATTCTCAAGGTACGATAACATTCAGTAAAAATAACGGAGTTTCACGGTATATCTGTATTTATGTGCGGTTTAATGAGCTCTTGTAGATATTGTTGAAATGACTGCCACTAGCCAGTTGCTGTCAGCTTGTCTTCACCTGATGAAGTTGGGATAGAAGATGCCCCAGTTACTCTTAATGCACTTGATGATTCGCATTTTGTGTTAGTCGAGAAGCACCACAAACTTTTTAATATATTTTAATAATTATAACAACTATAACTAAGATGCTCATAAAGTGCATTTTATTTTTAATACATCATTGTCACACTTCACATTGAAAAGACACCGTCTGGACCATTTAAAGTTGATGCAGCATGCGCAGGAACCAGAATGTGAAAAAATACCCACTCTGGTTCTAACCAGAACTGAACATCTGACTAAGTTGGAGAACCATTCAAGTTAAAGTTGAGGTATTTCAACAGAGAAAAAACTAACAGGGTCTTGGAGTGAAGACTGGGGAAGAGGATGAATTAATAAACAGTCACCACATGGCTCCTCCAGTAAGGCAGAGAGCAGAACTAGAAGTAAACAGACTTAGCCTTGTTAATTTACATGACCACTTTAAATATCTTCAGGTTTAGGTTAGTGTGTTCACCTACCATGTCCGATATACTATGATAATACTAAGGCAAATGTTGGATTGACTCAAAAATGCTTGGTGCTCCATCAAACTATGAAACACACTTTGATCACTTTTGGGCATCTTTTTTTATCCTTATGCTGAACTATGCCAGGTGAGAAATAGTGATAAATCCTAAAGGTGACATAACTTGAAAAATTTATTTGTCATTTGCTAACTAGGAAATAGCAATCCAGTTCAACTGGACCCTCTTCCCTGCATATTTTATGTTTTTCTTTGTCACCAAATCTAATTTAAATGGATGGGTCATTAAAAGGTTTAGCTGAACTTCGTAATGGGTCTCTTGCTTCAATAGATGGATAAATGCTAAAAAATGTAAAGCACTTCCATTGATTAATTGGTAATAATAATAATAATAATAAAAGACTTAGCTTGTTTTATTAGCAGAGTGGTAAAATGAAATCTTATTGGACCAGCAAAACTTAACTTCATATTACACAGTTCATTTAGTCCAAAAACTCATAAGAAGAAAACCCTACCCAGTGGCCTAGAGGGCCTGGTATTTGTAGAGGGGTTATGTAATCGCTGTTACCTTATGTTCTCATCTGCACGTTCTTGAGTCCTGAGTGCCATAAAGACCTAATTGTGTCCAAGTCTGTGACAAAAGACTAATATGCATTAGGAACTGCGAAATTCCATATTGGCAGGTTTTATGCCATCCCTGGTGAGCCTATGTACACACGGCCTGAACATTGCGGCAGGTGCCTGTGTATCCCTGTGAAGCTACTCTATGTGTACCTGCATGCAGTATTGTCTCATACATGTCGAATGTATGAAGCTGTCTTCATTTATCCTGTTGTTAGCGGAGAGTGCTAATTTTGTTCTGCAAGGTGATTGTGTATCCTCGGTGATCTCCCCTGCTCTGACAGCTCTTTTGTTTAAACTGTCTCAGGAAGGTCAGGTCCTCAACGACCTCGCACAATCATCTTAAACTTTTCATTCTCCAGCTCTACTCCACAGGAACTCCATTGTACATATGTACACACCAACACACAGCCTCAACCTTAAACCCACGTGCCTGAATGTAGCCATTGAATGTTACCCTAAAATCACTTGTGTATAAATTAGCTTGCCTGATATTGTGTTGCCAAAGAGATATCAGTATGTTTCTAAGACATACAATAGCTGGTCAAACCGTCTTTTTAGGCTATATGTGGAGCTACATGCACCTGATCAGTGTGGAAGTATGTAGCGATGTGTTCTGACTAACAATTATACAATAACACTTTTCAGTGAGCACTTAATTAGATTCAAGATTTGTAGTTTAAAAATGGAGACGGCCATTGAAACTGTGATTTTGACATAAAGTATAATGAAATGTAGCATTCTGTTGT